GGAGAAAAACACTGGAATTTTGATTTCCCGACTAGATTGTTAACTTAATATATACTACAGGCTCAGTCGTGGTACCACTGCTGCCTTCATCACATTCATAAATCTCTCTGTGAGATCTTGTCCAGTTTTTGAAACCTGAATACTGAGCAACTTAGTGATCCACAGGGCCAAACATTTCTATACAGCAGGGTATTCTCGTATTTCTAACCCACAACGTTTACAACATTTGTTGTTTGTCAAGACACTTTTCGCTTCTCACCACCTAAGCTTGATGTTCTGCCCCTCATTTTGACTCTCCTGAATGTTCGCCTCTTTGCAGGAAATTGAGAAAGCCCATCACACGCTTTTGAAAACCCTCAGAGAGCCATCTGTCAATCAGGAGTCAGAGGAACAACAGTGTCCCTCGGCAACCGTCTCCAGAACACCATCGCTGGATCGCGGATCAGGAGACGGTGAGGGGGCTCTGGTTTTGCATTGTAAAACTTAACAAATAATTTTTTTTCTATACTAAATACAATTTTTTTTCCCTTCCTCCAATCAAAGCAGGTAAAGAGGGCAGTCCAGCAGAGCCCAAGATTCAGTCGACAGGATTCTAACATCGCTGCGGAGTGGATTTACATGTCACTCAATCTTGATGGAGGCACCCATATGTACCCACCGTCAGACTGTGGCACCTCAGCCCTGCCTCCCCTCGCCCCTCGTCCCTGCATGCACTGGCCAGTGGAACAGAGCCCAGGAAGGACCATGGCTGTTTCTTTTGTTGTTGTTTTCTGTTGCCCTGGGACACCAGGATGCCTGACGGACTCGCTGGGATTTCTGAGGGGGTCAGCACAACCTCTCAGAGCATGAGGGAGTCCAGGACGGAGTGAGGAAAAAAGTATGAAGGAACAAAAAAAGAAGAAGACAAGTTGACTGGCAAAGAGAAAGGAAAAGTTGGGAAGAATTGAAAGTGGGGAAAAAAAAAAGTTGGATACTTGTGAAGGAAAATGAGTTGTACGTCTTGCTTTAAAGAGCTGGTTGAAGGAGCGGAGCAGGAAAGTGTTGAAATGTTAATTTAAGGAAAAATCCGAGGGACCCATCACCCCTGCACTTTACCCACAATGCATCCCTCTGTCACGTACGTCCTCCACAGTGGACGAATCAGGGACTGGAGATGCCACTGGCCTCCGGGGGTCCCCTCTCCCCCCTCCTCCCACATCGGTTGCTTTACACTGAGTTCACCTGCCACAACGGCCGAAGGACTGTGTCTATATAATTCAGGTTATTTGCACTGGGTAAGGAAACCAATATCACACACACACACACACACACACATCATTTAACCGTTTCATTCAGAAACACTACAGTTACTATCACGCTTACATTATCCTATTCATATTCAGTGCAACATATTGATCATAACGTGGTTCGTCTTGATTGTTCATTTTTTAAGTTCTGGAAACACTACTGCGCTGTTTACTACTGAAATGCTGGCAGGTTTTATTTTCAGCGCTGCTTCAGAGGCATACAGGGATCTATTCAGTTAATTTCTTTTTTTTTTGTTAAATAACAAGCTCAGTGGATTCACACAGGTGTTCTGATCATGTAAAGATGTTTTAGGTTTTGGGTGATTCAGGATGTGTTCGGGGCGAGGTTCGAGACAGGCAATGTTGACGACGAGCGAGAGGGAACGGGACGAGTACTGATCCAAACTTGAATTTTCACTGAAGACCTGTCTGTCACTCAATCAAATTGCTGCCAAATATCACCGCTGACATTGCCTGTCTACACTTTTAAGATTCGACTGTGCATCCTTTTAGCCCTCGCTCCAGCGTATTGTGTGTGTAAATAGCACGGTAAATACTGTGAACCAGCAACGCACCCCTTCTCCCATGATCCAGTGGTCATACCACTCATAGTGTTTATATCCACATCCAAAGCTATGAAAGGACTGTGCTCTTTATCACCCCCCCCCC